CTGGCGCTACTACTACTACTACTACTACTACTACTACTTCTTTCTACTACTACTGCTACTGCTACTGCTACTGCTACTACTACTACTGCTGCTGCTACTACTACTACTACTGCTGCGACTACTACTGCTGCGATTAGTTGGTGAGTTAGCTAGTATGGGTGGTGCAGGGAGGAGTCAGGCAGGCAGTATGTTTGGTGAGGAATGTTCCGAGAAAGAGTGACGACCAGTTTTGCAATGTACTCATAACGGAAGTGCAAGGCGGATTTTGGGTTTAGAGGTCAAGAGCGTACACTGCACACTGTTTTTCATGTCGTAGAGTGTGCTGCTAGTTGCAGACCTTTGGTGTTCCTGCAAGGCCGGAGACCATCGTGCTGAAGGTCAAGCGTTGCTGCGAGGGACTTACGCCTAAGTTCTGCAGCCTGTCTTGTCAAGCCCGGCAAGAAAATGCCAGCTGGGTGTTCTGTATTTTTTTTTGGCTCAGCTCCTGGCGGTCCTCCTTCGGCTCTGTGAGCACAGGTCGCTAGCCAAGCTCCTTCTTCCGCTCGATCACACGAAAGCTGAGAGGCTCGCTTCGACGGTGTTGGACTCGGTAAATGACTCGGACCAGCCATGACCAGCCTCTGATGAAGTCCGATGCGTCAAGGCGATGGGCTTCATGCAGGCTTTCGGCATGGGCGAGGGGATCGAGGAGTGCAAGGCTGTCAAGGCTCGAACGAAGCGGCTTCTGCTTTCATCGGTGCTCAGTTTCCGGTGGCTCTGCGACAGTGCTGAAGGCTCGATGCGAGCACGTGCGGGCAGCAACAGAGGTTGAAGCGGCCGTGTGGAAGCACAGAGACTTCATGCACGTGCCCGAGCCTCATGTTGACCGGCTTGAATTAAAGGTCTATAAATAAAAACCAAAGCATGCATTGCTACAATCAAAAAGCGGCCATTAAGCTGTGACTTACCTCCGTCTACTGGCAGGCCCCGATCCCTGGTCATCGATCCTGGTTGCCGTGAGTTGCCCAGTCACGTGCATTCGTTCGCTTGGGTGACTCCAGAAATGCGATTGCTCTTCGGACTGTCCTGGCTGGAGAATTGGGCTGGATACAATTCGGCAGTTGCTTTAAGGGCATCAACTCCAAGGTTCCGGCTGTAAAGCCTTCAATTCTTAAAGTCTTAAAGGGCTTTTGATTAGAGAGACGGCATGCTTTGAGGTGGAAGGCTGCAGAACGAGTTCACGGAATTTGCCAAGGTGGGCCTGGCTCTCGAGCACAAAGCAATGGTTAGTTGAGACACGGTCCCGTTAATGGCAAATTGTCATGGACCACGACTGTCACATATCTCCATTGATGATTGACCTGCCAGTGGGAGAATGCTTTGCTTGGGAGGCAATCTGAACTGGTATTGAGCTGCCCCATCTTTCAATCGGGACGGCTTCTTCCACACTACATCCCTTTATATATGAGATATATAATATTTTTGAAAAGATTCTTTCTTATTTGAAGATTATTTTTTTTTTAATTTTTGAATATTATATAGATGGATATGGGAAAATATAATATAATAATATTTTAAATCTGAATATATTATTTAATAGAAGGATTAATATATTTAGAAAATATATTTGAATATCTTACAATTCATATTTATTTTTATTGACTAATTTATATTTCATAATTATATATTAGATTCAATAATTTTGGAGAGATAATAAATCTTTGGGAGAAATCGTTTATTATGGGGAATCGATATTTTATAAGATATTATGATTCAAGATAAAAAAAAATATATAAATTATTTGGTGCGTAGATATTAATTGAATAATTGGTGAGCATGAGTAATATCGAAATTTAATAAATATTAAATAAAATTTCTGATTTTAAAATATATATTATTAATATTGGATTTATATTATTATAATAAAT